CTAACACCATCACAACCTTCAGCCTACCGACCCCCATCACTAAAGCAGCTGAGATTGAGTTCTTTGTCAGACTCACCATCTTTCTTCCATTTCCTGCACCTTCCCATCAAGAGCTATTACAATCACACACAAAGGAGACTTGCTCAGCTCTCAAAGGACACAACGTGCGCCCACCACCACCACCACGCAGCTGGTACCCTGCTCACCACTGCACCAAACAAGCCAATGGTGCAGGCTCAATCTCGCATAAAGCAGGTATAAACTTTTATTTTTAACACCAATGTGAACGTATAATTTGTTCAGATGTTTTAAGCAAGAGAGAGGGGAAAAAGACATAGGAGCAGGTGATAACAACAAGAAAAATCAAAGGTGTGCGCTCATAGGTAACAAGTTCCCACGGAACAAGGGACAGGACAAGAGGAAACGGCCTCAAGCTGCACCAGGGCAGGTTTAGATGGAGCTGAGGAACAATTCCTTCCCCAGAGGGTGCTCAGGCATTGGAACAGGCTGCCCAGGGCAGGGCTGCAGTCACCATCCCTGCAAGTGTTCACACAGCGTGGAGATGAGGCCTCAGTGCCATGGGTTAGTGGTGGCCTTGGAGTGCTGGGGGATGTTTGCACCTGATGACCTTAAAGGTCTGTTCCAACCTCACTGATTCTATGTATGAAAAATGATGCAGCTGAAGGTTTTTTCACTTGCTGCTTTAACACCACAGGACCTTTGGAAAGTGTAGCTCCTCTCCTTCTAGCACTGACCCATCTAGGGTTTGTTTTCTTTGAAAGCAACACACAACTAACTACAGTCTAATAGTCTTTCTTCTTCCTTTGAAGTGGCTTAGACAGGCAAATAGCTGCCTCATAGGCAATACATTAAAAGCAAATGAGACTACACTGCCTTAAACCTCACTGCCTAATTTTACAGTCAATGTTTAGGCTGTATTATCTACAATAACAACAACCGTAAGCCACGCTTCAGCATAACTGGTGCAGTTAAAGGTAACAGCAGTGCTAAAAAGGCACAAGTTTCACATCAGACTCTTCAGGTTATTCATAATCACTGCTAATAACTTGGTAGTTATTTTGGATAGAAGGACTCATACTTCAAGAGAGTTTAACAGGGCTAATAGCTGCAGAGCCTTGGGTGACATGGTTTAGTGTGAGGTGTCCCTGCCCATGGCAAGGGGCTGGAACTGGATGATCTTAAGGTCTTTTCCAACCCAAACCACTCCGGGATTCTATGATTCTAAACCAAACTATTTAGATTTGAGGATGAGCTGGGGCTTTTTTGCAATCAAGCTGCTCTGGAAACCGAGGCAACCCCCACGCACCACCTCTGTGGTCAGAACTGGAATTCTTTTGGGGTCGCAGACAGGATTTAAGGAAATTATTCATGGGTTACATACACAGAAGCATCCCGGAACTCCAAGAGACAGGGAGCTGGTAGCGAGCAGCAGCCTCCCACTGAACTACATGACCCAGGTGGGCAGAGGAGCCATTCTGTGTCCCTGCACGTACAAAGCATCCACTGCTCTGTGTAAATACTATGCAAAGAATCGCATTCTATTTGCTTAACAGCTTATGTGACCGCACGGTCTCACACAGAGCACGATCCTGCACGCTCCCGTTCCTTACAGAGAATTAAAGCACCCAGGGAAAAGGAGTTTGTGAAGTTTACTTCCATAATTAATCCTTCGCCAAGAGAGGACGCAGACATCAAACCACTCGTCCTGTTAGGAGCTATCTCGCGGAGAAAGAGGCTGGAATGCCTACACCAAAGGTGCTAACACCGGGTGTCCCTATGCCGACGCTGTTTGCGGGATACCGGAACGCCCAGCCCGACGCTTCCCGGGACCGGGACCGTCAACTTCCACCGCGGGCAGGGCACCGCCTGCCCGGCCGCGGCCCCCCCCCCCGTCCGCCGGCACCGCAGAGGCACGACCCGCTCCCACCGGGGACCACATGCGAGCATCACCGAGCCGATTCTCCCCCTTCCGCTCCCTCAGCCCCCCCCCCTGCCCGGGCAGCCCCGCCGGGCTCACGGGGTGCCCCGGCCGCCCCATCCCTACCTTCTCGCTGGAGGAGCTGCGCCGAGGCGGCGAGGAGCGCGGCCAGGAGCGCGGCCAGCGCCCGGCCCGCCGCCATCTCCCCGCATGGGCCCGGCGCCGAAGCGGGCGCGGGTCCCTCAGGCGCCGCCGCCGCCGCTTCCTGCTCCACCTCGCACCTGGAGCGGGGCGGGACGGGCAGGTAGAGCCCCTCCTCTTCCTCCCGGGCGGTGGCGGTCAGCTCGGCTCATCCCATCCCGTCCCATCCCAACCCATCCCAACCCGTCCCGTCCCGTCCCGTCCGCTGCCTCCGCCCCGGCGGGGAGGACGGACCCGGCTTGACGTGCTGCGGGCAGCAGTCAATGCGGGAGCCGCTGTTGCTGCTGCGGGGCGTTATTTCGCTTTACACCACACTCGAACGTTTTCCCCTGCCCGTTTCCAATGCTGTGAGCTCCCACCAAGAGGGGGTTCAAGTTGTGGGCAGCGAGGTGCCCTCGCACCCCTGAGGGTGCCCGCTCTGCTACCGATGTTGGGTGAGGCGCACCCTGCCTGCAGAAGCACCTCTGAGCTGATGTGCAGTCCCATCTACCCACGGATAGGTGGGGGGGAGACCTTATTGTGGCCTTTCAGTACTTAAAAGGGCTTATAACAAAGACGGAGACAGGTTTTGAGTACATCCTATAGCAGTAGGACAAGGAGTAATGGTTTAAAATAAATGAGAGGAGATTCAGACATAAGAAGAAAGCTTTTACAATTGGGGTGCTGAGGCGCTGGCACAGGGTGCCCAGAGAAGCTGTGGCTGCCCCATCCCTGGCAGTGTTCAAGGCCAGGTTGGACACAGGAGCTTGGAGCAAGCTGCTCTAGTGTGAGGTGTCCCTGCCCATGGCAGGGGTTGGAACTGGGTGATTTTAAGGTCCTTTCCAACCCAAGCCAGTCTGGGGTTCTCTGGAGGTGCCACGTTTCACACAGAAGAAGGCTCCTCCGAGCATTTTGTACCCTGCTTCTTGAATGTCTGGGAACTCTGCAATGAAAACCTGAGCAGAAACTATTGTGTCATGGTCAGGAGTAGATGTTTGCCAGGTCAGTAAATGCCTTGCTAACATCAGGCAGCTCATTTTCTAGTAATTCCCTGCAGTTGCTTTGGAGCATTTGTTTCTTTGGCAGTATCGTTATAAACCCCAGTACTGTTACACCAGCCCACAACAGCACCCGGCTGCTACAGAAATGTGCACAGGAATATTCAAATTCAAAGAAGGAGAGAAGGCAAAATGGTGTCAGAAGTGCAAGACCTATTTCAGATTTAAACCAAGCCATAAGGAAGACTGAAGACCCTTTGCTCTCGCTGATTTAAGCTGGTGATGAGGGTACTCAGCTCTCCTGGGTGGTCTTTACACCTCTTGCATAAATAAACCTGTTGTTGAGTGGTCTTCTGCATACTACAGCTTTCAGTCTTTAGATATCTTTATACCTTTAGATGATCTTAAGGTCCTTCCCAGCCCTAACCATGCTATGATTCTATATGGCCAGTGTTCATAAGAAAGTAATGAACTGGTTATATCACTGCGGAGAAGTGAAGGGGTGGGAGTTTTACAGCACATGAGGAGGAACAGAACGATTTCTTAGGGGCCCAAATCAATTCTGATGCCATTTCATTAACATAAGGAAACAAGGAAGGGTTGGGGGGGTATTTTCTCCTATGGGAGAAATAGGAAGGCTTTTGGCCAACTCACAGCTTTTAGTTAATGTCAGTTGTGTCTTACTTCATAAAGTTAAGCACTTTCCCACCTACATCAGATTTATATTACCTTACAGTTCCTTTGTTTTCCAGATGGAAGCATGGAAACAGTGTGTTAGACTTCCTAAAACAGATGTGGGTTTATGTCTATTGCTATTCTTTATTCTGTTCTTTGTAATTCTGATGTAGGTCTGGCTGCTCTTAGGTTCTCCCCAGTCACTCCTCTGGTCACCAGCATTTCCAAAGGAGCATGGAGTCGTGTAATTCTCTTTGTAAGCTGTGTAAGCATTCACCAGCCAGACTGACATCTCTCTGAGACAGCTCTCTTCTGTTCCCTCTGACTTGGAGATGATGGGCAGAGGGACGGGAGAGTGAGTGCTCCTCCATAGGGTTGAGAGGGTTGTGTAAGGACAGACTGGCTAGACACGAGAGTCACTTCCTAGTGGATTTGCACATCTACTGTTGCATAAACAGCGCAGATAGCTGGATTAAGATGCTTAAGATATTTGGCATGGGAAAGCATGCAGAAATGACCACTTCAGGTCATTGACTGTACGCATAACTCTATGGGGAAAGAAAACCACCAACACAAAGCAAGGGCATTTTGCATTGACTTGTTTTTTGCATAAGCCCACCAGAGCTGCTCTATTGCTCCTTAAACTGGGCAGGGGAGAGAAAATAGAAGAAAAGGCTTCTGGTTCGAGATGAGGATGGGGAGAGATCACTCTGCAGTTATCATCATGGGCAAACCAGGTTTGACTTGGGGGAATTGGGTTAATTTATTACCAATCAAATCAGGGGAGGACGATGAAAATCAAAGTAAAATCTTAAACCCACCTCCCCTTCACCCCTCTCTTTACACATCTTTCAACCAAAGTTTCCTTGGAAACAGCTATCAGCGCTCACTTCGGTGTGTTTTCTTGAGAAGGTGAATATTCTTGTGATGCTGTCACTTTGTCCATGTGCCTGTTTTGGCTGATGCAGCTGCTGAACAATTCCCTAAGTTGCTCTTTTTATTGAAGATGAATAATTTGGTTTTAATTGTTCCATCTTTTTTTTTGTGTGTGTGTGTGCTTAAGACATTCCTGGTTTTCCTCTCTTTTTGATTATGCTTGTACATTGACAGTGATGGGAAGGGTCTTGATTTAGAATCATAAAATCAACCAGGTTGGAAAAGCCCTTTAAGCTCACCCAGTCCAACCATTCCCAGCACTCCAAGGCCACCACTAACCCATGGCACTGAGGCCTCGTCTCCACGCTGTGTGAACACTTGCAGGGACGGTGACTGCAGCCCTGCCCTGGGCAGCCTGGTCCAATGCCTGAGCACCCTCTGGGGAAGGAATTGTTCCTCAGCTCCATCTAAACCTGCCCTGGTGCAGCTTGAGGCCGTTTCCTCTTGTCCTGTCCCTTGTTCCTTGGGAGCAGAGACCGACCCCACCTCACTACAACCTCCTCTCAGGCAGTTGTAGGCAGCGATCAGGTCCCCCTGAGCCTTCTCTTCTCCACACTGAACCCCCCAGGTCCCTCAGCCGTTCCCCATCACACTTGTGCTCCAGGCCCTGCACCAGCTCCATTGCCCTTCTCTGGCCCCGCTCCAGCACCTCAATGTCTCTCTTGTAGTGAGGGCCAGAACTGAACACGGGATTCAAGGTATTTGGTCCTAATATAGGTTGAATATAGAAGTATTTGGTCCTAATGTGGGCTAAATGTGAAAGCGTTCGTAAGCAGACCTATGAACTCAGGCTGGAGGTGAGCTAGAGCAGCAGACATCATTTTGCATTCCTCCTCCCTCTTCTACAGTCATTTTCTTAGAAAAGGACAAGAGTTGGGCACATCAGATTTGCAGGCCAGCCTTACTGGATCAGCTTCCTCTGGTATGTGAGTCTATGGACTGAAGCTCACAGAGATTGAGGAATAATTGCCTCTGCCATCAATGGGCAATGAAAGCTCCATCAAACCTGACTAATTTGGCTTTTACCTCTCATTAGCTTAATGTGCAGTGCCCTGGTCCAGCTGGAAATGGTGTAGAAAATCAGAAGGCTTAATTCTTGTTAGCATTATTTGTTGGTTTTATTGCATTCTTCTTAGGCAAGACTTTAAATGCTTTTAGCAGCCACTTCACGAGCTGGGTATCATCCTTCAGTGGTGAGCTTCACTGACCACAGTGATGTTGATACACTGCTGAGGCAGAGCGGGCCTTAGTCATCTTGGAAAGGTGAATTTAGCCAGGGAATCCAGAGATAAAGATGGGATAAAATGAGGAAAAACATGTACGTGCTGCTTAGTCAAAAGTATTCCTCTGCTTTGTCTATGGGAGTCATACCCTTTGCCTGGAAATGCCCTATAAATTACAGAGTCAGTTAGAAGAAAACACTGAAAATCTATAAATAGAAGCAGAAGAATTCTAAACCTCCTTACTTTTGGGGAGCAAATCTCCCACTTCAGCTTCTTTACCCCCACATTCAGTGTGTGTAACGCACCTAAATGAAAAGCTCAAAGACAGAGCCAGTGCTGTTCCTGCCGATAGTTGTCAATGAGACGTTCAGCTCTCTACTTTTTTCCCACCTAGAATGAAATCATTCAAGGGATAACCATACAGGCAGCTGTATGGGCACAGACCCCCATGGTCAGCCTGGGGACGATGTCTAATAACCTCACAGGGAGAGAGACACGCATAAATGTGCTCTTTGTCCCCAGGAGAGAAAGTTCACTGGAGTAATATTTAGGTTGGTTGTTTCTACCCTGTGCTGTCAATGGCAAACCAAGCTCAGATAATCCTGAAATGATGGGGTGTGTATTCAGTGCAGATGTCCATGAGGCAGGTGGTACCAGAGCTGATGCAGGCTCAAAGGGAGTGATCAAGATGCAGTTGATGGTGCTTGAAACGCAGCTGCTGTATGAGATAGCATTTGCGCTCGCTGTGTAAACCAAAGCAGCTTTCAGCCAGCTGTGTGACACTCATCCAGCTGCCCAAAGAGCACCAGATGGGTACCCTGTGCTGGGGAGATGTAGGGCACTCACTGGGTATTCCAGCTGAATTTCCAAGTATTTCACCTCTGTTATTAAACAGATCAGGTCAAGCAGCTGCTTTATATATTGTGGTCATGCCTAAGGACCATATGTAACATGGGCAGCTTCACCCTTGGCCAGCACTGACAGCCAGCCTTGCTCCACAGAACTTGCAAATCCATAAGCAAAAGGTAGCAGAGACTGGAATGGAGAAGAGGATCTGTTAGAGGAAGCAGAACCCAGGGCTGTTGGTGTCTGTACACATCAGACAGGGGTGAACATAGCTGTGATATATTGGGATCTGACGTACTGGTGTAACTGGTGTGCACTGGCTCTCTGGTTCTGCTGCAGCTGAGAATACCAATCAAGGAATCACAGAACCCCAGAATGGTTTGGGTTGGAAAGGACCTTAAGATCATCCAGTTCAAACCCCCTACCATGGACAGGAACACCTCACACCAGACCAGGTTGCTCCAAGCCCCTGTGTCCAACCTGGCCTTGAACACTGCCAGGGATGGGGCAGCCACAGCTTCTCTGGGCACCCTGTGCCAGCGCCTCAGCACCCTCACAGGGAAGAACTTCTGCCTTAGATCTAACCTGAACTTCCCCTGTTTCACTTTGAACCCATCACCCCTTGTCCTGTCCCTACAGTCCCTGATGAAGAGTCCCTCTCCAGCATCCTTGTAGCCCCCTTCAGACACTGGAAGCTGCTCTGAGGTCTCCACGCAGCTTCTCTTCTCCAGGCTGAACAGCCCCAATGTTCTCAGCCTGTCTCCATACAGGAGGTGCTCTAGACCCCTTATAATGTACAACATCTGCTTCCCCATGCTGGAAGCTCAGCTCAGCGTGAGCTGAGTGAGGAGAATGGTAAGCCCAGTCTTGCAAAAGCACAGGAAATATGGCATTTGTCAGCCCTACCGAATCCCATGGGTATTTTCTTCACTATCTGAAGCTCATTACTGGAATAGAGAGTGAGCTGCCTCCTGAGGCAGGCCTGGAAAGGTGTGATAGCATATTCATTGTTTAAGCTGGTTTCACTTACCATGCTTTAGGGAAGTGCTCTATGTCCCTCGTACAGTAGTTGCATCGTGCGAGCAGACCCGGTTAGTACTAAGGAAAGACCGAAGAACTTTCTACGTTCCCTTGTCTCTGTCCAAGAGAACCAAACTTACTATTACCTCTGCTTCAATCCTAGCAGGCATAGCCAGCTATAGTAATATGGCACACGGCGTTCATGGGATGAGACACCTCTCTGCTGTTTGTGGCCACTGTGTGGAGGAGGAGAAGGAGTTGGACTCTCGTAACTACCTCCACAAACATGGAAGGAGAAGGGATTTTTATTGCCTGCCAACAACAGCCCCACACGTTGTATTATGGAAGTGTGAGCCATATGGGCCCATTTCCCTTCCTTTGATAACTCCTTAAAGCAGTTCTTCTACTAAGGAAATTCTTCAACCTAAGTGGTTCCACAGGGTAAGTCTGCCCCAGCAACCTTCCCCACTGCTTGGGGGAAGAGGCGAAGGAGGAGCAGGGGAAGGGAGCAAACATAAATGCCAAGGTGCAAGGAAGTCAGGCCCCTTCTTATAAATGTAGGTATATACTTAGATAACTTTGTAATCAGTGTCATCAGTGTCGCACTGACACTGGCTCTAGCCCATTAAACCCTCTGGGCACAGGATTAAGTCCGTCTCTGCAGGATAGAACAGAATTTCCTACAATAAGATGGAATTATTTGCATGTATTTAAGTCCCGTTGCCGTTGAGTTTGGCAGCTGCTTAAGGCTGTTCTTGAAATTCAAGTTTCCTGACTTGAAGTGTATCTGTGCTGAAAAACACCCATTTGCTTTATTTGGGAGCTACTTATTGCACTGTTTAGCAAGGATACTTATGGGGCTAACCTATCATTGCAGCTCTTCATGACCTGTCATATACATTATTGCTCACCATAAAAGAGGAAAGAAACAGGCCCAGCTATAATAACGATCCATGGAATATTCTGGAGTCCACCAGTCGGTTTTCCATAGGCTGAAGTCATGCAGCACATCATTTTGGCCAAAAGCTTCATTCTTTCCAAGCTCTTCCTGGTGGTCAGATGGATTGTAGGAAGCACAGGGGCTGCTTACAGCCCTTGAATGCACACCCTGGTTAGTGATAGAATAAGAGTGAGATTCAGCAGGGCTTTGAGCAAGTTACATGTGCAAAGTCTTACCCTGCAGTCTTTGCCTGAGTCTTCACCGGTGGGGCTGGATGGAGCAGCAAAGCAGAGAGGGGATGTGGAAAGCTGCACCCTGAGCAAAGAAGGCGATGGGGACCCTGCCCCTGGCCACTGCTCATTATGTACAGGTTACGGATTCACCTAAAGGTGAAGAGTGGGATTTGCTTCCAGAAACAGTCATCTTGGAGTTGTACATTTGGTTTGTTTTTGGTATGAAGTTATTGTTTTCTTCTTGCTCGCATTTTAAAGGGAGTTTTCCCAGGAAAAAGAAATAGAAGCAGGACTTCATGAGAGGCTGCTATGCAAAATGCAGGGGAAGAAAAAACATCTGCAAGCCAAAGTGGCTGGATTGTGTCCATCTGCTCCCAAATGGTTGTCAGGGGTGGTTCAGCATAAAGCATTACCATGTGAGACGTTGTGGCCTGAAAGGAATAACCTGCTTGCGTAGGAAGAGAATGCTCATCATATGTCACACAGACAGGCAGAGGAGACAGCAGGGACAGTCTAGAGGCTTGGGCACTTCTAAGCCTCTGGGAAGAAACCCAAGTTTTTGTCAGGGAGAAGTCATATTCCATCATCTTTATCTGTTGCTGAGTGAAATCATAACAAACCAGCTTAACAGCAGGAACATTCCTCAGTGGGTAAGGACTGGTTATTTATTGCATACGTATCCTTTGTCGCTTTATACAGGCATCTCTGGTACAGATGTTCAAGCTCTGATAAAAGATATAAATAGTGTGTGTGGTAAACAACTTGTAGAATAGGACAGCGCTACGGAATAACACAAATGCCCTATGGATGCTTAGCAGAGACAGCGTGAGTCACATAAGGGAATCCATGGGGAGACCAGCACTTCCCCATGGCTCTCACGCTGGCATGTATGTAATGGGTCCTTTCTGTAAGGGAGCTATTAGTGATGTGCCTGCACTGTTAGCTGTCCTGATGCAAACATAGTGAAGTTGGGAAGAGCTTGAGACAGTGAGGTTTCCCCCTTGAGCCGCACTACAGCTTCCTTAGGAAAGTGAATCAGGTGCTTTCTGCATAATAGTCTGCCTTTAAATGGGTTGTGTTAGGTACTGAAATGAGCCAGTTGACTCAGACACCAAATGTGCCTGGCACTGACAGTCCTTTCATCATGGATTTATAAAGCTCCCAAGCAGGCATTTTCTGTCGTCAGTCATACCCAGTCCCACTCTGGCAACGTATTTGTCATCTAAGGTGGACAAGGGTAGGCCCTGTCCACTAATCACTAATGATCAGTGATTAAAGACCATTGTGGGCTTTAACGAGACTTTGTGGTGATGCTGCAGGTGCAGCTGCAGCAGATGGTCCAGGAAAACTGCAGCTAAAGTTCTTATTCCACACATAAAACTGCTAAGGCTTTCCTGGAATGTTGAATGAGGAAGAAATGAGCATTTGCTGAAGCTATTTTAACTTATGTAGAATGTATCCAAAAAGTGAGATTCTGCCCTACAGGATAACGTGAAGCGTTAACATTTGGTTTCAACTGAAAAGTGTGCACTTAGATCACCAAAGCCTTGGAGAGCTGGACATGATGATGTTGCATTTAAACTTGTTCAAGCGGCTTCTAACGCTGCTGTGATGATTTGTGCAGGTTTCAGGGTGCCAAGCTAAGAGGCTGTCATCTAGATTTGAATTTGGTTCTCTAGGAATCCATGGCGTGCATCCTAACTGGGGTTTGTAGGAACAAAGCAGGATATTTAACAGCCTGCTCAGGAATGGGAGCAGAACAGTCAGTCCTTAGACTTGGCAGTAATTAGATGTCTTCCTATCTCTTCCCACCCATCCTCACCATGCCCCTCTATAGCCCTGCTCTTTGGTGGGGTGAATGAACTTAGTGGAGAACTTACTGGGCTGTACTGGGTTTTGTGTCTTTAGATCCTTGTATCTTAGATCCTGCTGGTTGAGAGCTGCATTGCGTTGTGCAGATGCAATCTTAGCCCTTCTGTGCCTCGGTTGCCAAATGCTTAACAAGGAAAAATAGCAACACCTTTTTCATCAGTGATGAAAGACATTGAAAACTGGGGGTGTGGGGCTGGTTCTCTGATGCTGTGGCAATAGAGATTGTGTAAGCGTGAGAAATTGTACTGTTGGTTG